TACTTTAATGGTGGGCGAAAGAAAATGCCCGTATTATACGCAAGAGCTGTCTGTTGACGCTATTGCAGCGCAGTTTTCGACTCTCCTACACAAGGTAAACATTGTCTTTGACCTTATCAGAAACAATCCATTATTGACATCGAATCTCTTTACGAGGAAGGAGAAAAGCTTCATTTATGCCCATATTATGCATCTCATTCTCTTTTGCCCACCATTGAAGTAAGGTTTCTCGAATAATCGTTAGTTTATTGCTGTCCCATACAATTTCATTATCCAGCCCTCTGTTAGGAAATCTTTGTCATTAAACCTAAAGGACAGTATACTTATTTTTGACGAGGCCCATAACATTGTTGATTGCGTTAAAGGCATCTTTAACCAGTCCATATCATTGATCCAGGTAGCTTTTTCTTCAAAATCTCTTTAGATTACTTCTCTTTCATCGCAAACTGCAATTTATTTCGAAAAGTTTAAGCTAAGATTCAAAGGCTCAAATCAGGTTAACATTCAGACGATCATTGTTGTTCTTGAACGATTGAATGTCTTTTGTAACCAATTTCAGTCCCCGAAGACAAAAATAATTTCCGTTTCCGAATTTTTCCATCTTTCGAATTTGGAGGGCGTTAATGTTTACGAATTGCAGCGTTTTATTGAAATTTTCGGTCTTGATAAGAAAATACAAAGTTATGGCAATCTCGACAATAAAAGGAAATATCGGTTGACGTCAATTTTTACCTTTCTATCTTCGCTCACCAATGACGATTCGAATGGAAAGCTCATGCTGTATTTTGAAGGTATTTGTGAGCAGCGCATCCCTCATCCTCTTAGATGATATGGTTTGTATCAAGTATTTGCTGCTCCATGTTTCCGAATATTTTGTCGAGCTTGTGGAAGAGTGCCATTCTTTGGTTTTAGCTGGTGGCACACTTTCTCCTGTACTTTTGCAGTGTTTTATTAGGGTTAGATTGAAGATATCAAGTTCCAGCTGTTCAATTATCGCTATCCAGAGTCTAAATTTGTTCACTTTTCGTGCAATCATGTCATTGATGCCTCTAAACAGCTGCTTACTCTTCAATTATCGCACGGCCCAAGTTCAAAGACTTTAAAATTCATATATGAATACAAGGAGGACCATGAAATGGCAAGTGAATGCATTTTAACTGCGTAGCTTCTGGAGGCCTATCAGTCTATTTTAAATTTCTCACGAATTGTACCTGATGGAATGGTGGTCTTTTTTCCCTCCTATTGGAGCCTAAACAACTTTAAATCAATTTGCGAGCAAAACCTCTTGCTTGAAAAACTTTCAAGTAACAAGAAAGTCTTTTGGGAAACAAATGTATCTGTGGAACTTTCTCCGATCTTAAGTGCATTTATGACCACCTGCGACAATTCTCGTCCCAAGGGAGCGATTTTGTTTGCCGTAATCAATGGAAAGGTATCTGAGGGAATTAATTTTTCCAATCACTATGGACGCGCTGTGATTGTCGTTGGACTTCCATTTCCAAACCAGAGCTCGCCCGAAATTTCTGAAATGATCAAATTTTTATCCTCCACTCCTGTAAGGATTGCTTGATGAATTTTCGTGTAGAATTGCAAAATATCATCGTCTACGTTTCTCGAAAATGCCTGCATGAGAAGTGTAAACCAGGCCATTGGTATTGATATGTTGATTCTATAGCTCCTAGGAAGGGTCATAAGGAATATGAACGATTATGCAACCATTGTATTGTTGGATTGTAGATATTCGCAGGAAAATATTGTTAAAAAGCTCCCAAAATGGATACTACCCTCTTTGAGAGTGTGTAAGAATTTCGGGGACGCCTACAAAGGCTGCGTTCAGGTAGGTGATTTTTATCTCATGATAACTACAATAGTTTTTCAAGTCTATTGACCAGATGGTTTAGTTATTATTTACGTTCATTACTTTCCTTGACGTTATCCTCATTTCCTGGATATATGCAGCGAATATTTTCAAGAAATCCATCGAAGCTTCCCATTTTACAAACTCGGATTTCCATTTCGAATTTGACTCCATCACCTTTGTGTACTCCCTTTCTGCAAGGCCCACTAGATCTATAGTGCCTTCGATACATTTGCATTTAACAGCAAAAAATAGAGCAAAAAGAGCGAAATGGACAATTGGATATTGAAGGCAAAATTCGGTACAATAAACCAATTGCAAAATGTCCCATGTTTCCACCAAATCAGCCCTGGAGGCTTCTATCCAAACGATGAGAAATCAGATCATTACCTATACATAGAATTTTGGAGAACTTTAAAGCATATTCGTGGGGATGATGGCAGGTAAAGTTAAATTTGATCACATCCAATAGTAGACGCTCATAGGAAGCAACCAAGTCCCTATGGTAATCAAATTCCTACAATAAACACATAAACGGTGATACCCCAGAGTTGGATCCAATACCCTTAAAAGACGGGTTTAAAAGAAGGCAAGAACTGGTTAAAATCTGCTTGATTTTTCTATACGTTTCCTCGGATTTTGACGCGACCAGTATGCAAGTGATTGCAACATCCTAGAAATGAAAAAAGTACACCGCTACTATGTATGAGTATTTTTTCATTGAATAGAACATGAAGAAATAGTGGAAAAAATAGCTTGCGCTGAGAATGGTATAAAACGGTCTAATTCTAAGAAAAATAAATTTACAATCCAAGCAAATCGCCAAGCCTCCTCATGAAAATCACCGATGCCAAGCGGGTATCCTTTTGCTCCTCAAGTGGATGATTGTCGTGAATAATGGAAGAATTTCCCTTGTCGAACAAATAAAAGTCGATTGGAAGAAACATAAAATAAATTCATAAATTTTACTTTCATATTCAGCCAAATTCAACTTGCATGAAGCTGTCAATTAGTGCTGAAGTGGAAATATTTAAACAAATTATGCGTGAGTGGTGAGCCAACATTGGGGTTTGGCGATGGCAAGTATGAGGTGTACGTTATTTTTGTGCAAGCTACGCCATTGTCTTCATATTTATGCTAATTTGGGCTTGCAGGCCCAATTGTCTCTGCGCCCGTGGAGCTTGTGAAACGGACTCGGTCGCAATGCCGTCCTTTAAATTAACCAGAGCCTTTGGGAAAGCTTATTTTTTCACTAGTTTATGGCTTCCGGGGCAAGGGACCCCCCCCCAGACACTCGCATTAAAATAAACCACACCAATTTCCGGCCATCATTGGCTTTCCCCATCAGCATTTTATCTGTTGTTATTGATGCAGCGTGACCAGGATATCAGACTACAATCAACAATGAATAGACATACATGATACTCATGCCCAACACAAATTAAATGGTTATAAAGCATAGATTTATTACAAGTATTTGAAGTTATCGTACAATGGCAAGTGGTTATGACGTTCTGGTCATTGTTTTAGCGATTTTCATCCCACCGATAGCTGTACTTTTAGAGAAAGGCCTTTGGGTCGACTTTTTAATCAATATTTGTTTAACGCTTCTTGGCTGGATTCCTGGTAAGACATGGAGAATGTGCTAACTTTAGGTATGATCCATGCCTTCTACATCATTTTTCAAGAGAAGAAAAAGCCAGAAGATAATGCTGACAACAGTTAATCCTCTAATAAATTTGAATTCATACAATGGTCCGAACAAATGCATTTCAATGCGTAGGTGCATAGACACTTGGATTGCTCGTAGGAGCGGAGACGAACTCCATCTCGTTGCTTGTGGCTCAAATATTTGACCAAAAGGCTTGGTTCTTTTAGGCAGGTGCAACTGGACTTTTTGTGGCATTTTTTAACGAAAACATTGTCCTCTTTGCAATTCGAGCAAATTAGGGAAGGACGACCAGCTCCCCTGCCACCCATGCCGTGTGGGCTAAACTTGCTTCAATTTAAATTAGGTTTGATAGCGCGAAACTTTGTTCTAAAGACCATGTCTATTTGGGACTGTCGTTTTCTCTCCACCCAGACATGTCAGATACGGAGCGACAACTGTCCTCGAGATCGCCATGTGCGCGTGAAGCCAAGACACGGAAATTTGCCGATTTCAACGTAACATCGGAGGATCCAAAACTAAATCGATCATCCGGCTCTATTTATACCCTCTTTAGCGACTATGTGACTTTCGACGGTATTGCCGCGACATTTGCCTCCATTTCGCTTTTATGTTCCTATTTCCTTGTCCTGATCCCAGCAATATTCTCTGTCTTTTTTCGTAGACAGCCAAGTTCGATTTTTTCCAATTCTGTTCTCATGCCCTTCCTTTCCGTATACAAATCTTACTGCACGCTCACCCTGGATCCATTTGTCTGCAAAGTTCAGCCTGGATGGATGTATGCGCCATTGTTGGTTGAGATTTGCATCCAAGTTCCAACTCTCAAGACATATCTGTACTTTTTTAAGCATCCTGGAAGGCTCTCTATCCAACAGAAGAAAAGGGGATTCATATCCTACGGCCTAGTTGTTCTTATAAAAACACTGCCGATCTTATGTGAGGTCATGTTCAATCCTACCATTGAAAACAAGATGAGTCTCTTTCTCGTATACGGCACCGATGTACTTGCCTCGTGCTCGCTTGCCATGGCCTCGGTATACAAACAGAATGTCGTCTCAAAAGCACCAATGAATTAATCCGAATAAACGCTGTAATAAGAATTGCACCGGGATCGTCATGTGCTGCTACACTACAAAGATAAATTTTTAATCAATTAATGGGGATTATTGTTGGATCTAGTCGAGATAGTTATTTGACTTCATATCAACACTCATCTCACCAGGGCCCAGCTGGATGAGAAGAATGAATCCACCCATGATAGATATGGTCTGGAAAAAGTCGTATTTGATAAAATCCGAAAGGGGGTGTGACAGGCCAAGAGAGATCAAGTCCAGTAATAAAAGAAAGTTTGTAAGTATCAGCACACCAAGCAAAAGAACTGCACTGGTTTTGGCCTTGAATCCCACGGCAACCATACACCCAGATATTAAGGCTGTCACTCCAGCAATCCCTTTTGCGAATTCTAGCTGAAAGCTTCCAGGCATCAGTTGTGAGTTAGCCCCAGGGATGGAAAAGGATCCACCGAGAAATGCATTCTTTAATGATCCGGTCGTCAGTGCTGTTAAAATGGACGAGCCACATAACAACATCAGTAAAATTCTTCCTATGAGGGGCAGGTAAATTCTAGATGCTGTCTCTAAGCCCACTGGCAATCCGCCAAAAATTGTCCGCTTTTTGGTCTCAGAGGCTGAGTTGTGTGCAATTAAAAGCACCAGACCGCCAACAATAGAACAGCTTCGCAATAAGAAATTGGCGTCCAATAGCAACCCGTAAACAGCAGTTTGCAGCAGCAATACACAAATTAGTAAAAAAGCCCCAAGAGCTCTCCGCTTAGGGCCGGCCAAAACAAGTGCAATTCCCGATATCATAGTGCCAACCAGGGCAAACAATGAATAGAAGGAAATAAACCAGGGAATCTCCCGAACGTCCTGCATAAAAGCCATCTGCTGGCTCCACTGGCTAACAATACGTATAGAATCTTCCACAAATGTGGCAAGGAGCATGAGCTGGCCAATGGCCGTAAATAATGAGGAATTTGACAAATTTCTATTGAGAAATGGGGGCATATTTATGAGGGGCGGGATAGGAAACGAAAGTGGAATTTGATCAAAATTTGTTGTCAAGCAGTAAAGGCCATTAAATTTGTAACGTTATATGTTAAAGCACCCCACATCTTCCGATAACAACAACAACAGAAATGGAAAAACTATCATTGATCACAAAAGAATATCAGGTAGTAGATCACGACAATCAAATTTGGGGTGATTGCCAACAATGATAGCTATGATGGTTGTGAGATGTCAAGTTAATTTTATAATACCACCAAAATTTTCAATTCTTCTCAAGTGGCTTTTAATTTTAATTCCAATGAATTCGGCACCCAATACTCTACCTCCAGCCCAAGGCTTTGGACAAAGCCCACCGCCGCCAAATAACCAATTTCCACAGAATTTTAAATATGCATCAAAACCAATAGCACAATCAGCAGCAGCTTCTTCTGCTACATCACCACCACCACCGCCACCACCACCACCTTACCAACAAAACGCTCAGGGATATAATACTCAGCAGCAATATAGCTCATATGCACAACGTCAGTCTCCGGTCCATCCTTCGGATTTAGCTACGGGTTACCAGGGTCTATTGCCAAGCTATGGAGATTCGGCTGTTCTACCTGGCCAGCCAAATAATTATTCTCACTCACCGAATCAGTTGAACAGCTATCCCCAATCATCGAATCAGATGGATAATTATTCTCAGTCACCCTTTGCCACAATATCTCCTCAATTTAATGGTGATAATCAGCATTTCCAAATCACCGCAAATGCTGCTAAAACCGCCTTTGACATATTTTCAATGGTCGGCGGGGCCCAGTCTCAGCTCCCTTATAATCAAAACAAGATCCTGTGGTCTTGGATCGATTGGCCCTTGTTGACGCTCAAGCCTTATTTTCAGGTCTCACACTGGTATGTAGTCAGTAAAATCTCCTTGGTGCTCTTTCCATTTGTTAAAGAGGTAAGTCCATATTCCATTCAAAACTTTAGGATTGGGTCCGACGCACATGTCCCACCGAGAACCCCAAAGGGACACATCTTACAAACACAGTTCCAGGTACCATTCCTGTCCAGCAGTTTTCCCACACGGGAATACATCCTGTATCGCTTGGTGTCTCTTTTGCTCCGCCGAGAGAAGATGTTAGCTGCCCTGATTTGTATATCCCTCGTATGTTTATTCCCTGCTCTCACCATCATCATAGTTCATGCCTTCATTACCTATGTGATTCTAGTATCCATTATTTATGGGGTAGATGGAAAGTAAGCTTTCTTATTTTTTATTCTAGATTCACACCAGATATCCTTGGGATAACTTCATCCTCGGCACTCGTTTTCTCTCTTCTAGAGCTCTTTGTGGTGAGGACAGGCTTCTTTATCCTTGGGCTTGGATCTTCAGTTCCTATCCTTGAATATTTGGCTTATGTCGGCTATAAGTATGTGGGGCTTGTGCTGATTGTTTCCGGTGGGCTATTAGTACCAGGGAACAACGGCATCATTACTCGACTTATTTGGATTTACGTTTCCATTTCATATGCCGTATTTGCCCTGCGGTCTCTGAAAGATATTTTAAACCTCTCATCAGGTCTCGGTGATGCTGTTGGTGGAGGCCTCCTTCCTGGAGGCGCTATAACCACCATAGAGGCCTCTGCCGCAGCGGCTTCTGGAACGCTTCAACGACGTCGTGTATATTTCCTATTGCTTGTGGCTGCGCTCCAGGCAGCCTTCTCATACTACCTGATCATTGAGCCCAAATTCATCCCCGCTCAACCGCCATTGGGTCCGACTTAATACACTGATGACCAAAACACGTCCCAGTTAATGGATTTTTCAAATTACGAACTTATTAAAACTAAATACGTCGATATTTACTGAACCTAGAAGCACATGGCATGGGGAGCTTCTCCCTTGCTGAGAGAGAACATTGAGCGAAGGTAAGAGGCCAGCATCGGCTGTTTTTTGATCGAAGCAGTCAGGGTGGCATCAATGCTCTTCTGGGCTTCACGACGAACAGGGGCAATTGCACATTTGGTCTCTTCGACATCCATTGAAGATGCTTTGTCTTTTGGCACAAAAGAAGCTTTCTTGGTACATTTCTTTCCCTTGAACACAGCATCAGTGAGAGCGTCGGGGATGGTGAGTCCAGAAAGCTCGACTTTGGTGGCGGTGGCGATCACGAAAGCTTGAGAAATGCGCGTTAGCGGAACACCGTTGATCTTATAAGGTCCAGTGACAAGAAGAAGACCAGAAGTAAGCTGTTTTAAGAAAACGACGCGCTTTCCACGGAAACGACCAGCCAAAACAATGAGAACTGTTCCTGGGGTGATAGAAGAGCGAAGCTTGGTTGCAGGCTTGTCAGCAAGAGCTTTGGCAACTTTTTGCTTTGGTGGGGCTATCTTGGTGAGAATGCGCTTTCCACCATTTTTGGGGCCACCGATTGGCTTTTCTATGGTAATGGTCGAAGGCAGAATAGCGGATGATTTCATGGGTAACATGCTTGCAGCGAGTAAAGCCTTGCGTACGCCTGTTGTCTTTAATCCTACTTTTTTGACCATTTCACTATGATGGTTACGTTAAGAAATTGTAAAAAGAAGAGGTAGGATAATGATAGATTAAAAAGGCCCCAAAAGAACCCTGAATATGTCTTACCTTGAACAATAGGGGAATTAAATTTAAACTTTTAAGGCTAAATTTTATGAAAATTTCAAACCAAATGCCTGCCAAACCCAATAAAAGGGATGTCCAATTTATTTCTCATCTTGACCACTTTAATAATGGGTCCGATATTGGGGGTTTAATATATTGGATTTAGATGCTATAATAAAGCCTTTTCCCGTAGCAGACGCTCAAGGTCACCGCTGCCATGCATCTCAGCAAGGATGTCGCAGCCACCAATAAACTCGCCCTTTACAAAGATTTGTGGAATTGTTGGCCAGCCGCTATGAGGGCAATCAAAAACAGAGACTTACGTAAGCTCTTTCACTGCCTCCCTAAGAGAGGCTTCCTCTAAGACATCTATTGCAATCATATCTTTGATCTGGAAGAGGGAAAGGATATTCACGGCCTTTTTGCTGAATCCACACTAGGATCAGTTAACTAATTTAACATGCTAATGGTGAATCAGGGGTTCCTTTCATAAAGATCACAACGGGGGCTGATGAGAGTATTTCTTGAATAGACTCCATGCCATCGGTGGGCTGTGCGGTTGGTTCAAGCTCCTCCGTGCCCAAGGAGGGCGAATCGAGACGCGAAGTTGGATCTAAATTATGAACAGAGGTGATTTCCTACCACCATTGGGCGGCTTGCAGTAGTATCTCGATTGCCACATGTTGGCCGTAATCTTAGTATAAGCTCCTGTGCGGCACAAATTTAAACGAATGTTTGAGATGCCTTTTCGTATTTGCGAAGCACCGACTGAATTTAGACTGGCCATAAAAGAAGACTTCTGGGCACTCCTCAGTGAAAACTGCCGCAATGAGATGTACTTCATTCTGAGAAATAAAAATTCTAAATTTAATTCTTCCATAAATAATGACATCCTGTAGCGGGTGCGAGGAATCGCAGTTACTATTTGACCAGCTCTCAGCTGTTGCAAAATCGAACCCTCATCTTGTTGCCAAAAGCATCGATTTTATTGCCGGTCTTTTTTCTCAGCCAGAGGATATTCTCCAACCAGACAAATTGGACGACCATATCAAGCGTGCCTCTTTGGAGACGTCATCGACAAAGGAACGATATACGACTACATTTCGGGAGCAAATTGCAGAAATAGAATTTTTCCATCACTCGATAAATGACCAAGTCTCTTGTGTAAAGATTATCGAAAATCACATTGCCTTGGCGCTACGGCTAACCTCAGAGGCGATTCAGACAGTGCCGCCCAATTTCAGCATCATTCGACAGGTATTTTTTGTGAACCGATTTGTAGATTTCACTGGCATATCGCAACAGTTTGCAAGTGAAGGCAGTGCTTTCGCAGATTGGGTCCTCCGGTACGGATATGAAGCGCGTGCTTTATTTGCTCCAAAAGGAAAAGTTCTTTCTAGAAAATCTGTGCAAGTCAAAAATCGGGTCAGAAAACCCGTCAGAAGAGGAAAACGAAAAAAGCCAGATGTATCATAACACACCTATTGGCAGCCACCTATATCTCATATATATTAAGTTACATCTTTTGCTGGATTGGAAAAACCGAGCTATAGCCGAGTGCCAGGATCTCGAATTCTCTGTATCGTCGCCATCAGACGCTTCAGTATTCAAAAAACCATCTTCTACATCGCTGTCCGCTTCAAAGGAACAATCCGGATTACCTTTCGCAAGGAGCCTAATCAAAAGCCGACTTGAAATATTTTTTAATCCTCTGTCTGAGATTGTGGGGATCCTTAAAGGATATTGGACAGAGCTTCTCAATTACCTTGTTAATGTTCAAAGCATAGAAGGTGCCCGGATTTATGATCCTTACTCATCGGACACGACCTCGATCATTAGAAAGGACTTTAACCCCAGCACGCTTCCGTGGTTTGAGATGTATTCTAACCTATTGTCAATCTATGCTCGCATCATATCGTCTCGCAGAGGAAAGTACCGGTCGTCCACGCAGCTTGATTTTATATCTCTGGAAAATTTCGTCTCTCCGTGGAATATTCTGATTGTCGAAAACATTTCCAAAGCCTTTCAGGAGCATAAACTCGCTGGCTCCAAAGAGACCCTTCTCGACTTGCTTGGGCGGATTGACGGGCATCTTTGTTTGGGGCTCATTACATGGATTTATCTCTTTGCCCTTCCATCATTTTCCAGTATTTTTGCAGACACATCTGCCTCTAAACATCAGATGTTCATATTTTGTTCTGTTTTTCTTTCCTCTCTTAAAAGCTTCCTCATAAAATACTTGGAACCTGAGATCAAAGCAATCAACGGAGGTTCTTCAGACTCCACGATGCTCAGTATTCCGCCCTCTGATTGTCTCTACTTTTTGTCTTGGCTCACAACTTCCCAAAAGAGGATCAATTCAATTCTATCTCACTCTGGAACTCGAGGAGCTACTATCCCCGATATATTGAGCGAAGAGCAGGTTGACATCATGATTGGACGCTATGTGTCGCATACCACATCTATGGTCCGAGAGTGGCTTGGAAATTTGCTCTCCGCAGAGGTACAAAAGCTAGAGTTGCGTATGGAACCACCAGACTCGGATCGATTTGGAAAATATTTTGTTTCCGTTACGGGAGAATTATTTTTATTCCTTGACCAAGTAAGCAAGATCGAAGTAACGTCTAGATCATTCATGTCGCGCTTGCATGTAAAAACCCAAAGCTGTTCCCGAAACTTCTGCATTCGATATTGACAAATTCCCTTGCTTTTTTCCAGAACAGTATCCAGGAAAGCTACAGCAACCACGCAAAGATATGTTATGGGCCAGATAGTCTCAGCTCTCCCTTACTTGCACACGACGCGAACCCAAATGGCCACCCACCTGGACTGGAGTATTACGGGATTTCTTTGGTTAACTCTACCGTACAATGGGTACATGAGTTAGAACGCCTCAAAGAAACGCTCTCTGGAGATGTCTTTGTTCCCTTCGTCAAGGAGGCTTTTAAACGCTCAGAGGCCAAGTTTTCCAACATGAGAAAAGTCGGGTTTGATCTGCTAAAGTGTTCCATTTTCTCCGACATCATGCCGGTGATAAAAACGCTATATACAAACACTTGGTACAAAGATGATGTAGTCAAGCCCATCGATATCATATGCGACACCATTGATGATTTCCTTTCCGACTTTGAATATAGAATGATAACAGAGCCTTTTCAGGGATTTTGTTTGGACTTTTTCCAATATCTTGCCAGAGCAATGCTTAAACGGATGATTCAAAAGAACTCGCGATTTAGGGTTGAAGAGGCCGAGGAACTGCTCAAATATGATCATGGACAAATCCAAGGGATTTATTCCAAATTTGTAAGAAAAGACGGGGCAAGCGAAGATTCTGCACTGGAGCAGCTTGCCAAAGCATATCCATTGATAGCTTCAACCGAAAAAACATTGCTTGTGGCCTTTTATAACTTTCATCGGGAGTTTCCGGATGTGCCCGTGTCCTTTTTCGAGGACCTGATCTCAAAAAGAGATGGACTAGACAAATCCATTGTAAAGTCTTTGATCAGTGTGGCGAGGGATCATATTAAAAAAACGAAGGACAATTCCGGCGGAACCAGAAAAAGCATCTTTTCCGATTTACATTTGTAAATTAAACAAAAACAATTAAATGTTCGATTGCATGAATTTTCCAGAATATTCGCCTCAATATATTATTCGCTGTAATAAATCCTTTTGTTAAAATAAAGTAAATAAGTCTATGCCGCTTGATGTCCTTCAAATGAATCCTTCAAAGCGACCATTTGACGAAATTCAAGAGCATCCATGCGAGTATGGAAAAAGAATAAAAGAGGGCAGTTTGCTATCCTCAAAAAGGGCATTCAGTGGCTCTTTTTTCCCTACCGAGAGGAGCAAAAAATCCCGACCTTTTCAAGAAGAAGAAGAAGAAAAAGTGTCTAAAGAAAAGCATGGGGCTTTAGATCTTGGAGGTGTGGCCTTAGATTTCGCAAGCATGGCTTTAGCTCTTGTCCCCTATAAAAAAGAAGGGGTAACCCATCATTGTCCCGACGCAGCATCGCTAATACGAATTCCATTTCCAATCTATGCCAGTGGCGGATGCTATGAAATTTGTTCTGAAGATGACAAGCGGCTACAGCCTTCAGACAAAAATGCGCTTGTCGTGCATCCAACAATGTTCATGACGCGCCTTTAATTGTACAAATACAGATGCCAGGGTTGTAAAGAATAAATGGGCACACGGATTGGCAATTTTTTGTTGCTTCAAAACTTGGTCGACCAAAACTTTTGATGTCATTTAAGTTTAACTGGGGATCTTTCAATGACTCTTTTTATTCACACATTTCGCAGCTCATCGAAAAGGGGCTAAATTCAGGACCCCCTCCCCATGGAATATGCTCTCAGCTGGTGATAAAGGATCTGTATTTTGGCCAGGAGGTACCTGCCTACTTTTTTTATCTTTACATGTAGCCTCCAGAAGTTAGCATTTTGGAAATCGCGGAACTTTCTATGCACAGAGCTAGAATTTTAGCCCGAATATCATATGCCTCAGATGGATATATTGTCATCAACACACATGTGCAGGCGAATCCGCTTTGTGGTACACGAGGGGCCTCATATGAGGATTGGATGTCTTCGGTCAAGATGGACACGCCGCCCCAGCCGATCCTTGCTGCGGACAAGAGCCTGGTCGTTCCAATGGTTATCAGAATAACTGACCTCCACGTGGATGGCATCATATGGCTTTGCTGGACCGATCAATCTCCGCATTTCTCTCTAGCATTTGTGTCCGACCCGCTCGTTAATGTTTCCGTGTCTTCTTCTTTCGATTGCATGGCAAAGGTAAAGCAATCTCTCCAAGAAGAGATTGAACAGGAAATTAGAAAAGCACTATTGAAGACGATTCCAGAGGCAGCTCGGTCCTACCGATGATGGTTTGTAGAATAAATTTATTTTTCAAAAAAGGAATGCAATCACTCGTCCCTTTTTGCGACAAGGGGAGGCGAGAGGCTGCGTAGGGGTCTCCTCCCCTTCGCTTCTAGCGTGGGCCTAAAGTCATGGGATCCTGTGGATCGAAGAACGTTCTTTATTGAAGCAGGTACCCGTTCAGAGTTTCTCCTGCTCATTAACCTGTATCTTGACTCATCACCGGTTGTAGAGGAGCTTCGAGAATAGGACCTCTCTGAATCCCTTTTTACAGATGATGCACTTTGACCAGATCCGTCACGCTCATGCTTGCTGTTATTATCACAAAACCTTCCGATTTTCCTTGTATTCTCGTGAGAATCGCTACCATCATCTCGGGGATCTTTTCTAAGATCATGAGAATATTTGTTCCCCGCCTCATGTTGACGATGCCCATTTGTAAGCTTATCCGCTTTCGATTCGTAATAATAGCTACTTTGACTATCATCTGAAGAATTTTTGGCAGGATGGTGATGGTGATGATGATGATGATGATGATGAGGTTCTGGAGATCGAGAACGTCTTGTACGCGGGGAGCCAGTCCTGCCGTGGGCGTGTCTTTTTGAAAAGCCTAACGCACCTGATGATGGCTGTTCTTGCCTTTCAGAAATCCTAGCAGAGGTGCTTGTGGGAGAAGCGTTCGTTTTACACGGAAAACTTTCTTTATGAGAGTCCAACAGAACGCTCGATTTAGAAACAGCCAGTTGAAGCATTTTCCGTTTCAGGGCCTCTTCAGGCAGACCAGCGTAAAGAGGGTTGGTTGCAGAAATAGCTCTTCTTGCAATCTTTACAATGTGCGGTTGGACCTTTGGTGGACTTGGTTTATCATCATCCTGATTATCTACATCATTAAAGTGCGTATCCTTTGAGAGCCAACATACAGGAGCATCTGTAGGAGCGTCTTCGGAGGAATTGAAAAAAGAGAGAACGTTTCTAGCTGTCTTTGCAGACTCTAGTTCTATGCTTGCATATTTTGGAATGCCCAGAGCTTCCGCAGCATACTTTGACATCGGCCATCCACTAAAAACTCTGGCAAATATAATTTTACCCAACGATTCTTTCAAAAATAATTGAGAGAGATCCAACTCGGTTGCTTCGGAAGGTAGATTCGCTATATAGAGCGTTCGCGACGATTTGATCACCCTATCTATGATACTGTGGTGATCTTCCTCTTCGTAGCTGATCGGAACGACAAGCAACTTCCGATCAGCAAGTTCGATTCCCGATAGGCGAGTTGCTGCCCACACTTCATCTTCGGAGGAATAGGCGAGCATCACCTCCCACGTTACGAGTGCTTGAGAGATGGTGGCCGTGCATTCAGATTGATGGATTACAAAGGAGCGGATTGGCCCGATAATACTAAATAAATGATAAATAAGGTCTCCTTGTACTGCCTGGGAGATGTTTGTAATCTTGATTTCATTATGCACCAGCATAATTGAAAATAAACTTTTGGAAATTTAATTTACAAACAAGTCTTTAACAGGCCTGGTCTAAACTACCCAATTGGCCGTGATTTTCAAGAGTCTGTCCTCAAAAGGGGCGAGCTTGATGTGCCGAACACATAGCATTTTGGCAATAGAGACCAGTTGCGATGACACCTCTGTTGCGGTGATAAACTCGGCAAAAGTTCTCTTCCACGAAACGATAAGACAAGATGGCATTCACCAACCATACAGAGGCATTGTCCCCAGTCTTGCTGCGGCCGCGCACAGAAAAAATCTTCCGCTTCTTTTAAAGAAAGCTTTTGATCATCTGGATGGGGCGGGCATTGATTTTGTTGCTGCAACGCGTGGGCCAGGCATTGGCTCGTCCCTTTCTGTTGGTTGGAGCACTGCTGTTTCTATTTCGCTAGCTTTGAATCGCCCACTTATTTCCACTCATCACATGGAGGGACATTTATTGATGCCTTTTTTTGATAACCAGATACCTATTCCACCTTTCCCCTTTTTAACCCTTCTGGTGTCCGGGGGTCATACCATGTGGGTGGACGTTGCCGATATTGGAAAGTATGCAATCTTAGGTAGTCCATCAAATCAAAATACAAAATAGGAACCACTTTAGATGACTCTATTGGCGATGCCTTTGACAAAGGGGGGCGATATCTCGGCCTGCGTTGGGAAAAGGGGTCCTCATATGGTGCCGCACTTGAGCAAGCTGCTTTGCTTGTCACCAACCTTCAAGCGTACGACTTCCCGCATCCACTTTGCAGGGTAAAAAGTGCCGATTTTTCCTTTTCTGGTCTAAAATCTGCCCTCTCCAGGGTCAGTATTAAGGACAACAAAGATATTCCGAACCTGGCATATTCGTACCAAACAGCAATCATAAGACATGTTTTGGAAAGAATGAGGCACATTCCCTCTCTTCACGAGAAATATTCGGCGCTCATCATAAGCGGCGGCGTAGCAAGAAATGCCAGTCTTGTGCAGGCTATTAGCAAAAAGGCGGCCCCATTGCCGATCATTGTCCCTGCCTCAGAATTTTGCACAGACAATTCCTTGATGATTGCAAATGCTGCATTGATACGAATCTGTAGGAAAAAACAGCAAATTGTAAATATGGAGGAGGGCACTGCTCACGAATATTATCCCATATGGGATTTGGATAAAATTTAAAATAAAATTTAAATTGCAAGCAATGTAGCGATTTAAGCATCCCGACTATAAAAGCACCAATTTCCGCATGAATCAGCAATCATCAGCTGCAGTGACGCTCACGAATGCCCCCCTCGTTGCCCAGAAGGAAAGAACCCATCACACGCACACAAATTTTACTAAATAATTCTCAGCCGGATGATTCGGCAGCACAGATTAGCCGATCGCTGAGTACTTCTGCCCCGGAAGCTGTCATATCGTCTATTCCAGTAGCTTTTTTGCCTATGAATGAGTTTCATGAAGAAGTATCGAGATCAAAAAATTCGCTATCAGATTCTTCCAATGTTTCTGAATCATCTCGTCTGGTAATTTCCACATCATCTGCAACTACAAGTCAAAACAGGATCGATAGGCTCTTGGCAATTTTAGAGACCGGTCAGACATCCCAAGTGCGTCTCAATGCAGGAGAACAATTAGCACAAATCGGAACTTTGCGCTCTGAAACCATCTCGCCGATTTGCCAGCGCCTAATTTCGCTATTATTACGCCCCAGCACGAAACCAGCCGCAAGCTCATCATCGGGGCCGTCATCTTGGGATGTGCGCGAAGCAGCTAGTGCTGCTTTGGGTTACTTTGGGCCTCTGCTAAATACCCTTAGTAAGGTCTCTGATTCTTCTGCAATTAAGACAGAATCTGATTGTGACTTGGCCAAAATAACGCCACCCTTCCATCCATTTCAGTCAGATTGGCAGTTGACACTTGAAAGCCATCTTTCAACGTTCGACATTGTCGCCTTTATCAGAGGCGGTGAGAGGTTGCTTTCATCGGCAGGCACCGAATATGATGAAGAGGATTATTCTGCACAATCTCCTCTTAACGCCCGTTCAAATCCAGAGCTCAAAAAGAAGCGGCTTGCCACGGCTAGGGAGGAGGTTCAGCGAGCCACTGGAGGAGTTCTTGGTGCAGCGATCCCCGGAACCAGCGCTCTTCCCATGGATTGGATCGATGAAGAAGACGTTGCTAGCCCTAGTCCATGTTCCAAACCAAAACAAAAAGGCCGAGTTTGTAAGCCTGTCTCTTTTCCATCTGGACCGTTACCAGAACCTTCCTCACTTATGGATGCAATACTACAGCTCTCGTTTGAAGGGCTGCTACATGATCGCTGGACAATCCGCCATGGTGCCGCTCTCGGGCTTGAGGCACTGCTGATGCAGCGTCTCCCCATTGACGAAAAAGATGGATTTGCAATATGTTGTGTCGCCTTTCGTGTCTTGCAATTGTTGACGCTAGAATCGTTCGCTGATTTTGTAGGCGAGCGTACACAAGCGCCAGTGCGGGAAGCCGCTGCCTCTTTGCTTGCTACAGCTTGCACGTCGCTACAATTTTCATTTGAGAGATCCACATCTCTCATAAACGAGGCATTACAGATGATTGGTATGCAAGTGGTAAGGATGGCCGATCAGACCTTGCCATGGCATGCCAGACATGCCGCTTTGTTGGTAATCAAGGCACTCATCGTATCTTCTGGGGGATCGCCGAAACCTCTGCAGCCTCTAGATGTCGTACAAATACTCACCACTTGTCTCACAGCTCCGTGTGAGGACGACGACATTCGCCTTGTGGCCACCGAGATACTTTTATGGCTTCTCGAAAATGACGGTTCCACTCTGCTGAAAGATACTGCTGAACCTGTTAGCGCCATTACTTGTAATCTGAAAGAACGACGCTTCATTTTGGAGTCTTTGTCATTATCTCGACTCGCCGCTTCAATTTCGCAACTGATGCTTGAGAGAGCTCATGAAGAGGAAGATCTCTCTCCAATTACCACTGTCGGGATGCAACTGCTTGCAGCATTGCTTATCACGGAGACGTCCAAAAACCAACGTGCTAAAGATGCCACTAAACCCTCCACTGCGATTGATAAGGTTGAACCAGAGGCCTTTATCAGAGATCCATCCATAGTAAACGTGCTGACTGGAGATGCCACGGCACTGCTAATTTATTCACGACATCCGCTTTCATCTGTGCGTGCCGCATTTCTGCGGACAATCCGCTTGATGCGGATGCAAGTTCATCCACCATCTCTGCTAATGGAGGCTCTTTTCCAGAGCATGCTGTTGGAGGACGATCCAGAATTACTGGGAGAAACTGCCGCGCTATGGAGTGAGATTCTTCCAACAATAGTTTGTGAAGAAGCCTCCAGCGAACAGCTTATGACGGCCGTATTGCGGATGCGAACACTATTACTGCACCATCCGCTAGCACCATTTGTACGCGCTGCTTTTCCATGGGCATCAAAATCGGACCTCGGGTTTTCGCCAGCAGACATATCCACACTCACGGCATCAGTCGTGGCAACTTCTGCCTCCATGCCACGGCTGATCAATCGTTGGCGTGCAGCGGTGGCACTTGGCGAGCTACTCGCTGCGATGCCTATTATTACGTTCGCCGATCTTACTGAGCAACTTTTCCCATTGCAGCCTGGGCATGGTGCCTGGCGCACAATGGCTTCTGCTTGGGTCCTTATGCGTTGTGTTCGTTTTAGTATGGAAATGCGGCGTGATGCCGCTATAATGCTTTGGCAGTTGGCGTTGTTGCCGCTCTCGACTGATGAGATAGTCTTCCAGGAAGAGGAAGCTGACCTTGTAGCTGCTATTGAGCGTCATCTCAATCAAGTGACCACCGTTTCGCCTGGCAGCCTTAATGCTTCAATTCCAGGATTGCTGGGGCGTGCGGCCGCTTTGATCTCGCAAGATCCTCAATGCTTCTTCCAGCTGCAGTCGCTTGTCGATTCTTTGCAGTCAATGCACGAGCAACTTCGGCTACAAGTTTGGGCGATACTTGCGACATTGTTTTTACGGTTTCTACTGCCTATTGATAATGTAGCTGTTCCAGCTAGCTTATCTTCATTCGCACTAAATCCAGTATTGCGACCCATTGTAAGCTGGCTGCGAAGCGAAGATGGTTCCATCCAGAGCTTGCAGGCCTTGGCACCAATAAAGGGAGAAGTCTCTGCAGCCTTCGCACTCTTGCTCCATCATCTCATTACTGCCGACTCTCATCTGGCTACGTATTCATCAGCTTCACCTGAAATGTTGCCAAAAAACACGTCTCCGAAACTTCCATCTGCCCAGGCATCGAAAACTCTATTTGCAGTAGCGCAGCCGGCCACAGCTGCATTCAAGGCCTTAGCTAACATGCTACTTGGGATTGGTTCAGCAGATATCTTTCTCGAGACTTTCGACGGGGTTCATTTGGATAATCAAGATCAAAAAGAGGACGCCACCAATGATCATGAACGAGATATGGAAACTTGTGTATCTGAGGTGGAGCCACGATTGCCAGCGCCATTTGCTCGGGCTTTTCTTGCATTATCTTCGATACTTAAACCTGTTAATCTCGAACTTCAGTGGATTCGTTGGCTACAGGATGCGCTTTTCCCCCCTCAAATCCCACTCCTCAGACGCCTACAACTTAGCTGGCTTATTATCAATGCGGCTGGTTATAACTGTACATTAGAAGACGGAGATAACCTAACCTTTCATGTTGCGTCCCCTTTGGATTCCCACTTGGAAAGTGGTATAAAGAAGAGCTCGCCTTCAATACGGTTGCTCTCACTCCAGAATGACATTCTTCTGTTTAAAGACCCAACTGAAGAAAACGATCCTGCAGAGTTGGAGGCAAAAATTCACTGGAGTGCTTGGGTGTTAGCAGCTACTGCCGGGAAACCATATCATCAATCCTTGAGTTTTAATAGTTCACGCCAATTGGATCATATGCTGTTACAAGAAATATTGACTCCAGGAAGCCCGCTTAGTCTTGTTGATGTAATGAGTAGTACACAGCTGATGAGCGATTCATCTACGTCGATCCTTCGTATACGTGGTGTCCTTGACGCCATAATTCGGATTTTTTCACTTGAAAATAATGGAGTTGCATCATCCTATGTCAATGCTATCCTTATGTATCTTCCTCTTCTTGCCCCGCCATTGATTCCTTTGCTCTCTCATGCAGACGTAGGAATCCGCTTGCGATCCGCTCACTGCTTCGCAATTGTAATCCAGGGAGTGGCACTACAGGTCTCGCCATCAAAAGATACCACCACCCTACAAACCGCCAATATGAAGCCACTGTTGGAACAAATGCGTACCGATGCTATTCACTTTTGCGATCAACTTTTTCGCCCGGAAACCGTTCCGCTCTTCGATCCTCAGATATGTTATGGACCATACCAAGGCGACCAACCTAGCAACCTGAAGAAGGGGGATACTCTTGGTATTGAAGAGAGTGAAAAAGATACCGATGGCATTTTTAGTTGTGCCTCACAAGCCCAGCAAAATGCCAAAAGCTTTGCTGAATTTACACTACGACCATATCAACGTGAAGGTATTTCCTGGCTTGCCTTTCTAGCACGTGCAGGGCTCCATGGCATCCTTTGTGACGACATGGGTCTTGGAAAGACCATTCAAATGTTGACTGTGCTTGCTGCGGGCGCTGCGGGAATATTTTCACCCCGCGAAAAGCAACTTCCGTCACTTATCGTTGTGCCACCATCTCTGCTGCTCCATTGGAAGATGGAATGCGAGAGATTGACTGGCCGCTACTTGCAGCCGATGCTTTACCACGGACCGGACCGTCGTGGACTGTTAGCGACCTTTCGCAACTGGCCTCAAGACCATCCTGGTGAAAATTCTCACATAAATGGCCCTTGTCGCGGCTTGCTTGTCATCTCTACTTATGACGTTGTACGCGTAGATCCTGAGTTACTTTCCGAGATCACTTGGGCATGGGTTGTGTTGGATGAAGGCCATGCAATCCGAAACTTTCGCTCTAAGGTCTCGGTGGCTACGAAGCAGCTCCGAGCCCTTCATCGTGTCATACTAACGGGAACGCCTGTGCAAAACAACTTGACCGAGCTGTGGTCACTTTTTGACTTCATTATGCCGGGGTTTCTTGGTAACACACATGCTGTTTTTATGCGGTGTTATGGGCGTACCGTCCAGGCCGCAGCCGCTGCAAGCAATGCAACTTCCAAAAATGCACGCAAAGCAGTGGTACGGCGTTCTGCGGAGACGTTGGAGCTGCTCCATCGCGCATGTAACCCGTTCATGCTGCGACGCATGAAGGAAGATGTGCTTGATGATCTACCGCCAAAGATTATCATCGACCGCTTTGTCGAGCTCTCGCAAGAGCAACGAAAGCTTTATGAGTTTGTGCTGCACAGAGACCGCGAAGAAGGTGTCCATGTCTTTTCGACAATTCGCACCCTGCTGCAGGTATGTAATGCACCTGCATTGCTTAAAGGTGCCGATGGTACTGGGCCTTCTGAAGTTACCGATGCCGCCACTAGCATACCGCCTAAACTTGTGGCGCTGGGTGAGCTCCTTTCGGAGAGTGGGATTACAGGGTCCTCACCATATGCTCACCGGGCACTGCTTGTGTTCCAAAGCACGCGCATGCTAGAGATCGTAGAAGAGCAGCTACTTCGCCGTTCTTTTTCCGAAATTACCTGGCTGCGTTTAGACGGATCCATTCCACCTGCACGACGAGGGATGGTGGTGGAAAACTTTAATGGAGACGCCTCCATTGGCCTGCTTTTGATGACAATTGGCATTGGTGGTGAGGGGCTCAACTTGACTGGTGCCGATATAGTGATATTTGTCGAATGCGACTGGAACCCAACCAAGGACCTACAGGCGATGGACCGTGTACATCGGCTTGGGCAGACAAGAAGCGTCTCTGTTTACCGGCTTCTCACTCGCGGCACCATCGAACAACGGCTTTTATCGCTGCAGCAATTCAAACTAAGCATGGTCTCTTCGCTGATCACGCAGCAAAATGCCGCCCTCTCCAGCATGGATACCACCAAGTTACTCGATATATTTTTGCTTGCTCCTGAATAGGCTCTTTGTTTTCATCTGCGAGAATGAGCAGCTCAAGTTGCTCTCTCTCTCTCAAACCTGAGCTGTTATCAAATTAAACCATCATCCACTTTGGACGCTTTAAGAATTACGCTGCCATAGAATTTGCCCCCACCATTGAATCTATACTGCGGTGCGACTTGGATTAACATCGGCCTTAGCTTGGCCACTGGTAGTAGAATGCATCGGATGTGGCCGCAGAAAGGTACTTACAATCTGGGGGCCATTGCAATTGTCACTGCAACATTCAAATTTAACGATCACACCGCTATTTGCAACTTGGCGCTAATTTTCTCCGAAATCGTGAACCAAGAAAAACTCTAAAAAACTTGGAAATCTGTGGACATTTGGTCCAGCAAATAGCCCTTTGGCAACAAACGCTATGTGGATGTTATTGGGCTTTGTTTCCTTTTTCTTGGAATATGCCATATGGGAGATCCCAACTGCGCTTTTAAACACTTCACACCACACAGATCAGGGTTAGCTCGGAAAGCCTCAAAACGAAAGGAAGACATAAAAAATGTATGCCAGTGTGAAAGTAGAGGATAAAAATAGTCCTGCAGATATATCCAAGTCTATGTGTGGAAAGAAAACCCCGAGATTGGTAGCATGTCTAATAAGTTGGAAAAACTTGTCAGGGATCAAGAAGACTCGGAAATCTCAGGTTAAAAAGAAAAAAGGAATGTTTGGTAAAATGGCAAGCGTTTTCAAAGGTAACTCAAGCTCGAACGAATATCAAACAAAGCTTGCCTTGTACCCTGCATGCGAGCTAGTTTTGTATAAATCAAAGGTAGCTTTGAGGGAAAATAAATTATGACGCCATTTCCGATGCATGCAAATGTGCAGCAGGTGGTCCGGTAATTTTATATGACGAGCTTTTTGGAGAAATGAAATAAAAAGCAACCAATCGGCATCAGATGAGGCCTTTTAGCACAGTTTATGGCTGCTGACTTGGTAAGTTATCTGAATTGTAAATATTTTGTGGTGAGAGGAAAATTTAACGTGTGTCCCTTTAAAGGGGATTAAATTTTTTCTTGGAATTTACTTTATTTCAAGATGGCCTCAGATGCGGAGGAGGCCCATCTTTCTGTTTTCGAAAATCCTGTTCTGGTGCTAAGCCTTTTTTATCGATTTTCATATCGCCAATTGATATCATTGATAAGAAGATTCTACTCCACCATCATAAAATGCTTCCTCGTCGCTTTTCTTGTGGTTTTTGCGCTATCCTTTTTCCCTTTCTTTTATAAGCTCCTGCCTGCGGTGCTATGGTATTCGGAATGGTTCATGCTTGGCATAATGTCCACAATTGGTCTTGGCTCAGGTGCCCATACTTTTGTGCTTTTTCTGGCTCCCTTTATTGCAGAGACTGCAACCACCGCCTTCGTATGCAATTCGCTAAACTTTGATACGCGTGGGCCTAACGGGTTTTGCCTGCTTAATTACATGTTAGCTTTACGTGCTGGGGCGATGAGGAGTCCCGATCTTTCGTTCCGCTCGCTGAAATTATTAAAAAGGTAATTTGGGAGTCCTTCTTTTGGGGCTTTGGCACTGCAATTGGCGAGTTGCCGCCTTATTTTATTGCTAAAACCTGTGCCCTTAACGATAAAAAGGCGCCGTTCACATTCCGCCCAAACGGATGGACAGACTACTTCCACTCCCTGATCCGATGGATGGTGCAAAAATTTGGGGTTTTCGGCATCTTGCTTTGTGCGTCAATTCCGAATCCACTATTTGACCTTGCTGGTAACGGATGGTTTTTGAGCGTAGGGATCACATGCGGATATTATGGAATTCCGTTTTGGTCTTTTTTCCTGGCCACTTTTGTTGGGAAGGCCATCATCAAGGCATCTTTGCAGGTGGGCCAATTGCCTAATCATGCTTTGTAGACAATTGCCGTTATTTTGCTTGTTTCTCCGCCCACAATAGAGGTCATTGTGTCGAACATAAAATCGATCACCAATCCGGCCCTGGGGGAGTGGATCGATTCCTTTTTGCAGGAATGTATAAATGGGTTTAACCCAAAGCACGGTCCAACAACCCATCCGATTAAGGTATGTTTCTTATCTTGATGGTGGCAGATGGGCATGGTTGGCTTTATTTGGAACATCGTCCTAACAATGATGATTGTGTACTTTATTTTAACCATTGTGCAAGACATTGCTAGGAGAGAATATGCCACTCTCAACTCGAGTTTTTCTAATAAAGAAAAGTGTGAATAACGCGACGCACATAGCCGCACCCCCTACCAATTGCAGATTAAATTTTTTTATGTTGCACCAATGTGTGATTGGTTAACTTTTAATTCCGACTTGTTAGTTAACGCTCATCATGAATGCTATAGACGCGGAGGATGCCAGGTGTAGCCCTCGTCTCTTTTGTACCCTGTGCTTTTTATGAGATCGTCAGCCTCCTTTGGACCTCGAGAACCAAAGGCATATGGGACCGGCGGATACGGCCTCGACTCGACATTTTCCAGCAAAGGAGTGAAAATCTTCCAAGCCGCATCCAGCTCATCTCGGCGAACGAAATTTCCTTGCTCTCCATGCAGCAAATCCAAAAGAAGCGATTCATATGCATCTGGAATTCTAGAATCCGAGAACTTGTGCCCATATGTTAGATCTAGCTCGCTGCTGATGAACGGGTCAGGTGGAGCGACTATGGTCTCTTCATCTCTAAGGCTAGGAGATGAGCCAGCAGAAGACGATGTTGCACCACTATAAGAAATCGGTACTGTAAGACCAGGGTTCTTGATGTTTAGCTTCAAATATACAGCTTCTCTTGGCTGCACTCTGATCACGAGCTCGTTGCGAGGGACCTGTTCATCGACCTCCTTAAATTGGATTCTGATTTCGGCCTTTTGTTCGTTTAAGCCCTTTCCACATCTCAAGATAAAAGGAACGCCTCTCCAAGCAGGCACATCAATATAGATCACCAGGGCTGCAAATGTTGCCGTCGTCGAAGTATCTGGAACGGACGGGTCTTCCGTATATCCGATTGCCGATCCAGATCTCACATACTGGCCTAAAACCACGCTTTGTGCGTCAATTGGTCTTATTGCCCTCAAGATGGCCACCTTAATGTGATACAGTATAATCTTTGAAACGAACCTTGCTATCACGTATGTCATCAGAAGAAAAAGAAACCGGTCTACCCATTGCAATCAAAGAGAGGATTTGAAGAAGATGATTCTGCATCACATCCCGTATGATGCCATAGGAATCAAAATATCCGCCACGGCCCTCGACACCTTGAGTTTCTTTAAACGTGATCTGCACGTTTGCAATGTTATCTGAATTCCAAACGGTCTCCAAAAGCCTATTTGTAAACCTAAGCACCAAAGTATTTTTGACCATCTCCTTCCCCAAGTAGTGGTCTATTCTATAAAGCTAAAGGCATCAAAAATGGAGTTTTACCTGTTTTTCATCGAACAGTTCAGCCAAAGATGTAGAAAGTTCGTTTGACGAGTCCAAGTCATGGCCAAAAGGCTTTTCAACAACAAGTCGAAATCGCGACGAGTTTGAAGGAACAGAGGGAGATGAAAGATGCGGAATGATGTAATGATGGATTGAACGCGCCACCTCCAAAAAGACAGAAGGCGGGATTGCAAGGTAGAAAATGAACGGAAATTCATGAGCTTCGCTGAATCTTGAGCCGGATTTTAATTCAAGTATGCGATCCTTCAGCAGCGCATATGATTTTTTCGAATTGTAATCCCCAGATACATAGTGACACATCGATTTGAAGCGCGAAACTAGCTCTTGATCTAGTATGGTAACAAAAAGCGTCCAAACCGCCATCATTTATCAATGAAGTGATGTGCTCAGAAAAATCGGCGTCATCCATCTTTGATCTGGAAAAGCCCAAAAGAATGGATTCGGGACACAAAAAGCCGTGCTTGAGCAGCGCAAAAAGGGCCGGGAATGTTTTTCGCTTCGCAAGGTCTCCAGATGCTCCGATGACTACGAAAACAGCCCTCATGAGAGGGGGCGGGGGCGGCATAGCCCCCACCAACGACGATGTGGATAGTGTTTCACGCAGAGAAAATAGGTCCACCGACATGATGATCGAAATTGTCTAAATTAAAGTTGGAAACGTAAAATTGAATAAAGTTCATTTTAAACACTTACAAGTAAAGTCCCACTCCACCAAGGGAACACCATGCAAATTTAAATGCGGGCACAGGTATTTATTTCGATGCCAAAAGTTTGTAGTTATGACAACATCAATTGATGTTGTTGCTTCCGTTTTACAGAACGCCATTTGGACGGCTCTCATACCTCATAGTCCTTTGAAAAGTCGAGCCCGATCGACTGAAGGTGAGTGTTTGTAAGTCGGATTTTTCTATTTAATCTTGGTGTCTTTCGCCCCCGAGCACTCTAAATTCAGGGATAACGCTCTTCCACTATACCTGAGCCGCATTTAGCTGGTCCAAAGAACTTGATGAAGTCACGCTCATTTTGTCAATGCCAGCTCTTTCGAGTTCCTTTTGCAGTTCATCCTCATTGAGGGGAACAAAGGATCCATACCACAGTTGCTTGTATTCTATACTTTAATAACCGGGCGCTTCCTACCCTCTGGAACCGAGGGCGTGGGATACCAGTCGTAAAATAAAATGTCAAACCGAGGGTCCTTTTTGGTAGAATGGATAGGTATTCTGTAGATGGGCGTTCTTGTCTTTTCCTGTTCTTGAATCTCTTGGATCCATTCTTCAATTTTCGGGGCCGAAGAGGCTGTCGCACCGCGGATGATATCGGCGATGGGGAGTCCGTGATACCTGGGCACACTTTGTAGCACGCTTATGAGATCCGATTTGGAGCGAACTCTGATTTGAGTCTGAAGTCTTAAACTTGATCAAATCCTACGCTGAGCTCGACGACTCCAGGCGATATTTCGCGGACACGGTCGCTTTTCAGCAGCAAACTTAACAGGCCAGGTATCGAGCCAATATTGATTTCCGATCGGGAGGATAGCTCGCTTATCGTGAGAGGACCTTCCGCAGCCTGCTATTAAGAATCATTATCGTTTACCTTCAGAGTGTTTAGGAGTATGTGTAACATCGAGTTTAAATGTCGAGACGGTTCTGAATATGAAAAGGTATCCAAAAAATTTCTCTTTTGAACAGTGGATTGTCTCTGCATGACATCCTTAAATGCTTTGTGCTGACTGGAAAGGGATGAATTCGGGCTCGGCGAGTTTGGGGCTTTGGACATTCCAGTTGAAAAGTAAAATTTTAACCCCAAATTTTTAAATACCTCCCCCCCCGCTCACCAATGCTCATTGACGGGGCTGACTGTAAAGCCCTCTCGTTTGATTTTGAGCCTTACTTGGCCGAAAAGTTGGACTTTTGTTTGGACCCATCTGCTCGGCCACGGAAAGCCGAAATTTGCAAGTTTTTCCTGCGAGGCACGTGTCAGCGTGGTAACTCGTGTCCGATGAACCATGGAAAATCCGATAAGGCGCTTTTGTGCAAGCATTGGCTTCGCGGGCTATGTAAAAAGGGAGACCTTTGCGAATATCTGCACGAGTACAACCTCAAAAAGATGCCAGAGTGCTGGTTTTTCTCAAAGTATGGAGAATGCTCAAATGCAGAGTGCCTATTTCTACATATCGATCCCACCACAAAGCAAAAAGAATGCGTGTGGTATTCTCGGGGATTTTGCAAACATGGTCCTACTTGTCGCAATAAGCATATAAAGAAAATGGCATGTTTCCATTATCTAACGGGCTTTTGCCCCGAAGGCCAGCGCTGTCAATGGGCACATCCAAAATTTGATGTCCCTGCCTCGGCCTCCACGTCTGCAAATATTATAGCGTCATCTTCTTCGTCATCTTCTTCGTCATCTTCCTCAGGCTACCATGATGCAAAAGCGATCGCAGTGTAGTCATTAGAGTTTATTATTAAACTGCGATTTGTTGTTATAAATAAAAGTTGATAATTGAATCACTTGGTCCACCGACAGTTGCTGAGGCCTCAATTCCGAAGCAATGGAGCAATGGTCATAAGCCTGCCTGATCAATTCTTTACAAAACGCTTGCCTACAGCGTAAAAATGGCAATCGGTACTCCAGAACAGATCGAAGGATCTTCCGTTTCTGCCCAAAAATCGTTGTCGAGAACCGTGATAAATACAGTACAGGGATTTCTAAAGCACGAGTATCTTTCTGAGAAAATTTAATTACAGCGGCATCGACCTACGAAAAGTAAATATGTCACGCATACATCCGGGGACGGGACAAACCGGTTCCGTGGTATATCAAACAGGTGTTCTGGCCTACTAAGTGCATGGGATAATACCCCGATCCGTGTGGTCTGTCCCCCGTCAGGAGATGATGAAATTCTCTAAATGGTGACAACAAAGCTACTTACATCGGCAACCTCCTTTTGGACAACCAAAACCATCTCCATTGAAGATGAAGCAGATGCAAAGGGATACGTACCAAAGGCCATCCATTGGAGCCACTTCACCAATAGCGGTGTCGCGATAGAAAACGGCAGATTTGCAATTATTTGGAACTTTGTTATAGGAAATTCTCGAGATTTTAGTACACAAGAAAATGCTTCCATTATGCCATCCGGCTCTGCTTTAAGGGCATCGCTGAATAAAATGTGAAAGTTATCTTTATATTTTGACGCCAGAGGCTAAAGTAAGACAAAATGGAATACCATTAGAAAAGGGTCAAATCGAGAATCCTTCTCAATAGCCAACAAAGCGAGGGGGCCCTCCTCTAATATGGACCTTGTCAACGAGCCCGGACCTAATACTCGGTAAGAGCTTAATAATACCAGCTCCAACTTCGAGAATGCAATTGGAGTGCAAGTTTTTTCCTAATCCAGAAACAACCCTTTCTTTTTGCAAATAAATACACGCATCTTACTTGAAAGTTGCGGGTCTAATATAAAATTCTGGCTTAGCTGTTTAACTGCCCTGACACCATACAGCTTCAATAGCTGCCTAATTTTAGGCATGTGTGACAGCTGATCCACCATAAAAATACAAAAATAAAAATTTATAAAATGGAAATGCCATTCAAACAAATAGTAACTTCGGCTTCATGCCTTGCATCTAATAAATATTTCTGAACCTTTTCTTCGTCTACAGTGACCATTTGGACTGCTTTAGGGCAATATTTCCGGATATGGCGCGACATATTGTCTGTTCGTATCTGCTGCTTGCAGTATGGGCAATGTGGCTTCCTGCCGTGGCAGTTTTGAATATGTTTCTTTAAGGTGCCCCTTGATGTAAAAACCCTTTTTACCGGGCATTCAGGACATATATTTAACGAAGATCCAATGCGAACGTTGCTTTGATGCCTACATGGTATGTTGCTGCTCATTAATGAATTGTCGTTGAGATGTAAAATCTCTGAATGGGGAGTTCTTGATTTCCTAGCAGATGCCAAGTCCAAGGTCTTTTGTTTGCATACAAAGTAGGTGGATATGTCCCTCTTACTAACCTCGCACAAGTCAGTAAGCAGATCCGTAGAAATTTGGGCGCAATGAAGTATTCCAGAATTGCTTAAGGATGCAAATTGATGCTCAAGATTTAGATAAAAGGGAAAAAAAGCCGTCATAAAATGTGGAAAAACGAAGAAAGAGTTAAAATTACGTTGAATGGTAATCTAATTCCATTGACATGGAAACAATAATCCAATAAAAATATTTCGTATTTTAAATATATTGAAATGTAAAAAAATGTGAAAAAAAGAATAGCTCTTGTAGCTCAGCTGGTTAGAGCGCGGTGCTTATAAGCAGGGATCCTGTTATACATATAGCATGAAAGTGTTAAGATACGCCGAGGCCGAGAGTTCGATCCTCTCCAGGAGCACTTTTTTAAATTTTTTAATTTTATGAATTCAGAGAGTTCTCAAAATGCGTCTATTGATCCAGATAGGGTAATTCTGGCCAACTATGCGATTGCCGGAGCCACCGCCCCCATAGAATTGGTATTTTACTTTTATAATTTTGCAGTTATCGGTTGACTCCGAATACTCTATGACCTTCTGTATCTGGCAGGAAGACCATACGATTGGAAATCTTCTCAAACATTTAATCTTGCGAAAGTAACTGAATGATTGCTTAATAACCTGTAGTTGCGATATCGAGTTCTGCGGATATTCTGTCCCCCATCCTTCGGAATCTAAAATCCACGTTCGCATCCAAACCAATGGAACGATTACCGCCATCGCAGCTCTGCGCCGTGCACTTGAGGACATCAAAAATGTTACGCAAGCTATCCGCGACAAATTTAATGAACAATACTCCGTTAACTTATGATGAGACCGATCGACTAAATAAATGTATTTGGTACATTGTCTAAACAAACATGCCGACGCGGTAGTTTTTCATGGGTTTAATCGGGAATCGGCAATAAAGATAAAATAGATGAAAAAGAGAAAGACGATCGAAATGAGCCAAATCAATAGGATAAACAATATGGCAAAGGAGAAGAACCAAAAATACATCAAATATCTAAAAGAGAGTAGGGAATATGTACTGGATGCCGGACAGCTTTGCCTTAATTTCCAAATTGGAACTGTATATTTGAAGGTCAGGTGCACCAATTGTGATAGTCGCATAAAGAAAAGGGACTGCAGACTACAAGTTGCAAAGATGCTAAAATACCTGAACGCATTTAGAAATCCCATTATCTGACACGTCAATGACAAGTTGGTGAGCTTCCTCTTTCCAGCCAAAGATGAATGGGATAACTCTAGATATGAATTTTGCGCATTTGAGCTTCTCAGAAGCATATGGGACGATGCTCTAAAAGACGTAATTGGCAATGTGGGATTACTGGTCGTTTTGAATGGAAAATCGACGTGCCTTTTGCGTTGAAAAGCGAAAAGTCGACCATAAAATTTCCGATTTGCGAATTTTGTGGCGAATCGGGGACATATAGTCGCAATGAAAACGAATATCGCTGGTTCGGCCTCAATAAAGAAGAAATGGACACGTTTGCCGTCGGATATTGCTGGCTATAGTCTAAAAACACTGGAATCGAGTGCAAGTATCTGGGAACGGCCCACTGATATAGAAAAAGATAAAAAACCACCGAGAAAATAAATAAAAATATCAGCGAAATAGACAGCAGGCCCAGTCGCATCCAAAACAATCGGTTGGCAATGATGCCCACCAATCTGTATCCTTGAGAGAAGAAGGATGAAAAGGTTCTCCCTTCGACAAGCTGAAGGGAATTTGCATCGATAAAGGGCAGCATCTGGTCCTCATCTTCGGGGGTAAATTCTATGGCCTCTCTGTCCAGGTCCGGTATGCCGTTGAGATACTCGTCAATTTTTGAGCTGCCCTCAAGCCCCCTCCAATTAAAAGGAGAACGTGACATTTTAAATTTTTAAAAAGATGGCCGTTATAATAATTCCTAAAGTGTCCTTTTTGGACTCTTTGCTTAGGCTCCATGGAGGCGTGGGGTCTTTGTCCGCGCTATGCTTGCGGAAATACACATGTGAGGGGACACCTTTTCCGCGGCTTGTGAAAGATCCTCCAGAGCGCCTTAGTCCCGTATATAGGGAAAGTCAAGCGCCGCAACACAACTCGTGCTTTAAATACTTGATTCCGCGAATCAAGCTTTCCCAACAGCTGCCAATATACACCGATTACAAAAACGGCCGAACAAGAAAGATCACGATTATCCGGAAAGTGCAAGGCGATTTTCAGGTATTGAAGTGTGGCACTCTTTCCAATTAGACTTTATACGACGATCTTGCATCGATCCTACCAAAGGGCACAAAAATAACTGTCAGATCGGATCTGAGCCAGATCCACGTGCAAGGCCTGCATTATAGATTGCTTTGCAACTTTTTCACCGAAAAGGGCTTTTAACGTGTAATTTTATGCTAAAATAAATTTTAATTTTAATAATGGCGCCAATCCTCACGTGTTGCACTATCAGTGGCTGCATTGATGATTTTCTTATTTAGTCTTCATCACAAAGACCAAATTACAAAAAACATTTACCAACCACCACCGGTCTCTCTACACCAAAGATGCGCGAATGTATTTCTATTCATGTCGGACAAGCCGGCGTTCAAATTGGCAACTCATGCTGGGAGCTCTATTGCCTTGAACATGGCCTAACTCCGGACGGGACTATCGAAAATCCGGGATCCCAGAACGATGGGTCGTTTAGCACATTTTTTTCTGAAATGTCGAACGGAAAGTATGTTCCGAGAACCGTTTTTGTTGATCTGGAATCCTCTGTGGTTGACGAAGTTAGGACTGGAAAGTATAAAAACCTGTTTCACCCGGAACAACTTATAACGGGAAAGGAAGATGCCGCCAACAACTACGCACGTGGTCACTACACAGTTGGAAAAGAAATCATTGATCCAGTTCTTGACAGGATTAGAAAGTTGGCAGACAACTGTACTGGTCTTCAAGGCTTTCTTGTTTTCCATTCTTTTGGAGGCGGTACGGGCTCTGGATTTGGAGCTTTGCTTCTGGAGCGCCTTTCCGTTGATTATGGGAAAAAAAGCAAGCTCGAGTTTACGGTGTACCCCGCTCCTCAACTGTCAAGTGCCGTAGTGGAGCCATACAACTCCATTTTAACCACACATACCACCCTGGAGCACTCGGACTGCGCCTTTATGGTTGATAATGAAGCAATTTATGATATTTGCCGGAAGAATTTGGACATTGAACGCCCGTCGTATACGAACCTAAATCGCCTGATTGCCCAGGTGGTTTCTTCCATCACGGCGTCTCTTAGATTTGACGGCTCCCTTAACGTGGATCTGACCGAATTCCAAACCAATCTGGTCCCATATCCAAGAATTCATTTTCCACTTGTTACCTATGCCCCTGTGATTTCTACCGCCAAATCCACGCATGAACAGCATTCTGTCTTGGAGATTACGTCTGCCTGCTTTGACCCCAATAACCAGATGGTTAAATGCGACCCCAGACACGGCAAATACATGGCGTGTTGTCTGCTTTACCGAGGGGATGTTGTCCCGAAAGACGTTTCGGCCTCCATTGCCACCATTAAGGCCAAAAGAACAGTCCAGTTTGTCGATTGGTGTCCCACAGGCTTCAAAGTCGGCATCAACTACCAGCCTCCAACTGCCGTTCCAGATGGCGACTTGGCCAAGGTAAACCGTGCCGTTTGTATGCTTTCCAACACCACTGCCATTGCTGAGGCCTGGGCCCGTCTGGATCACAAGTTCGATCTGATGTATGCCAAGCGTGCATTTGTCCATTGGTACGTGGGAGAGGGTATGGAGGAGGGTGAGTTTTCCGAGGCCAGGGAAGATCTAGCAGCTCTAGAAAAAGATTATGAGCAGCTTGCTACGGACTCTGGTGACTTTATGGTGGACGAGTATTAACAAATACAACTTTAAAATCAGCTTTCATTTTAATTCGGAAATAATTCAACCCCCCCCCACTTGCTGCTGAAATCTTCCACTCCATGATTTCGCTTCAGTTTCTTTATGGATTTTTTGTCGGCGAGGTGGTACTGTTTTTGTTGGTCGTACTAATTCTGCAAAGATCATTTCCAAGGGTTAAAAGGCCACCATCGCCTTCCCCATCACAAAAGTGCTCTCCATCTTTCGCCAAAGATGGCAGCAAAGTGGGTGCATTTGAGGAATTGTCTGAATTYTTTTTGAAAATATACAAATCGCCAGCCGAAAATGAGAAACACTCTCACATCACCAACAAGGTTGTTGATTTACACCAGCGACGAGACGAGTATAGGTCTTTTCTTACAGGGTTTGACGATACAATCTGGATCAACGAGGCGATCCAAACCGCTTTTTTCTACTATTCTACTTCGGAATCGATGCACAACAGCATAAAAGAAGGCATCGAGAAATCGCTTTTTGACGCTGCACCTGCGTTTTTGGTAAGCAGGCTTGGTTTATCCGTTTATTGTAGAAGGTGTGCGAGTTTGATTTTATATTGGGGGGGATAAGAGAAAAAGGAACGCTGTCGCACCCGACGATAACCGATGTGTATCACGAACGATTTTCAAATGACCTCTCCGACATCTCCATTCGATTTCATCTGCACTGGGATAACATGGGGACATTTCTTCTGGGCGCAGATGCCGTACTTCCATTCAAAAACGCAATTCTACTTACCCTTCCACTGGGGTTGGGCATTCATATTGACAAAATATCTGGATATGTAAGGCCTTGTTTTAACCCTAGGTCTTCCTGCGATTGTTTAGAAGGGAAAGCTTGGGATCGGCCTCGCCCGCCATCGCCGCCATTTCATTGCATCCGAATTTCATCCTGAGGTTGCATGTTTTGTCGGCAATTGGGGACGATACGGGCCAAAAAACGGCGCTCAAAAACAATGGCAAAATAGCGCAAATGATAGAATGGGCGATAAAACAGTCGCTTGAAAACACATTGATATATCCGAATAGACAAGAGATCAATCTATCTCCCAAATGATAAGTACACTTTAATTTATTAAGTTTGGGATAAATAAGAAATAAATCTTTTCAAATTGAGCAGAGTTACCCTCAATTGCTCCTTGTGGTGTTGAGGATGGATTCTTGCTTTACCGCCGGAAGATCCCAGCAGCGGTTTCATTTCGAGCAGCAACGCATTCATGGTAGCTGTTACGGTTGCGATATAATTGTTTTGCTTCAAAGTGTTAAATACCAGATCGGAGCCGATGACATCAAATGCTATGTCCAGGGTGTAAAGAACGGCCTCATTGGCAGTGGCCAAATTCTCAAGCTTCATAAACTTTAAAACGAGCAATAAAAATTTGGTGATCAAAAGTATTGATTGAGTGTTCAGGTTACCAGAATTAAATCTTGAAAGAGCGGCGTTTAGAAACTCGAATATTGTTGTCGTCGATAAAGCCGACGAAGAATGGGAAAGGTCGATCAGGGTAATGTTTCTTTTCAACACAGCAAGACACTCGTCATTAAACACGGGTGACTCCGAAACCAGGGAAACTTTGAACAGCGAAAATAGGTCTTCCGCCGAAAATTCGGGAATCTTCTTCAATTCAACGGACAGGACGTGGAGAGCATCTAAAAAGGGAGAAAACTCGCATAAAACCCCAACGAGCGATAGAATCTTTTCAAAAAGCGAGGGAAAATTGGATTCTTGAGGCTTGTCGTCACATTTCTCTTCAACAATGCACAGTTGGGAGATGTTTGTTAGAAACCGGATTAGTATGCTTTGAAGAAGTAAACTGTTTTCTTGAATGACACGCTCAAAAATGGTGTTCAATCTAGACATCGATGGCAGGGGACATGCTGACAATGAAACACTCAGGCCCTCAATATCTCTCACCAGTTCACCGTCATTATCAGAAAAAAGTTTTTCCATGTCACACTCGAAATTTTTGTTGCAATTTGACTGTTGTTCCAAGGGCGCGCCTACGCCTTCGCTGCTTGAGCAAGATAAGCTCAACTCCTTTAGAGCCAAATCAAAAAATTCAAGCAATAATAAACAACACATCTGGCAATAAATAATTGCTATTGCACTTACCTGATGAGAAAGAATATCGTCTTTTGACGTTGAAGACAGCTCTTTGGGCGTGCCTTCGAAAAGAGCATTTAGGAACAAAGAAAAGCTCGCGCCTATGGCGAGATCGCTAGTTTTCAACGCAAGCAACACTATTGAAAAAAAAATCAAATAAATACCATCGGCAAATCGATTCAGCAGTGCAAGTATTTCGGCTTCAATTTCAAGATTCAAAAATTCAGATGCCAAGCAAGTGTTCTTAATTGAAAAAGTAATCAGGTTCAGAAGCAACAAATATGCGGTGTATTTAGAATCTTGCGGATTTTCTTTCAAGCAAAGCTGTCGCTTCAAATATTTGACAATAGTGGTAAGCTGGCTTTTCAAAAATTCGGTCAGAGCCGGATTTTCGTGCGAATTCAAAATTTTAAATAGTGCAAGCTGAAAGGACATCCACTCGTATTCAAACGGTTGAAATGTGGTGGCATCTAAAGACGTCATCAACTCCATTATTTTGAGGTTTTCGGATAGTATGGAGCATAGTTCATTAACTTCCTTTGGCAAAGTAAAGAAATCCTCAACCAAAAGCAAAGAGGACAACGCATCAAGGGCTTCGTTTGGAAGCGAAAAATCAACAGTGCTGTCCTTGTGGTGCGAAATATTTCCTGCCACAATTTCGTTTTCAAGTTGCGTCGTTGTTGCCTTAAAGATTTCCAAAAGAATCGCCAATATATTTTCCGGTAGGCATTTCATAATGGCAGAAAAGGTGGTGTGCTGATCAACCAAAAACGGGACCATCGAGAGGGCCAGCAATTTTTCACTATTCGATCCATTCGTGATGTTCCGCTTGAAGAGATCGTAATCAGATCCCTTTTCTGCAGCGGTGTCGAAATTTTGCTGGGGTCTCTTCATTAACGGGGGTTTTAAAAATTAAAAGCAACCTGAAACTTTACGGACCATTTGGGATTAATCTGCGCTTCTATTAGCTTATATGGTTGTAAACGTTAGCCATCCCCCGTTTTACCACAGCCATGGCGTGGAGTCCCGTACTTTTGAGCTATGCTCAGCTGCAGCAATACCACATTCATAGTTCTAACTACATTTACACATCAACCTTCGTCGTCGGCATTGTGCTTTTCCTTTTAACCTTTTCATATTTGTTCTTGTACATAACATCGACAAGATCATCCACCCCCAGGCAGTCTTTTAACTTCTTATCGGGGTCAAATCCATCTGTTTTGGCACACATTTTCACCATTCTGTACTCTGTCAGCTTGATATTGCTTGGCGCCCTAGGAATGTACATATACTATTATGAGCTCTCGCCCATTTCGTGGACCAAGCTCTTCAACCAGGTCATCGTCTGCAATGGAACCTCTTCAAATATGGACTACATCAATTCTGCATACAACCAATATAAGGTCCCATTGAGCGCTCACGAATCTGGGATCAAGCTCTCTCTTCTGAAATCGATAAGCAATTTCTTGGGAAATCACACGTTTAATGGAAAGGATATTTCAGCAGCTGGCGCGCTTTCAATGAGCGACGGTTCTTTCATCAGCAACGACAGGCCTCCTTTATTGGATTATAGAAATTTATTTTCGCGGCATTATCCGTTCATCTACTTTACGCTGATGGAGGAGATGAAATCCTACATAAGAATTAGCACCACGCAATTTTTCTCTTTTTCCATATTGAACTCTGCATACTTTATCACTCTGTCGTCATTAAGGGCCACCATGCTAACTGCATTTGACATAAGTTCTGGGGGCATATTTTCATCATCAACATTTATTCTTATAAACTTGTATGGCATATCGAGGCTCTTGTTTTTCCCCATTATAGATATCTGGTCCAGTGGGGGATTCCGCATTTCCCGGCCAGAATTGATCGAATATTTTTTGTCGTTTCAAATAGAAAACTTCTCTGACAATCAGGAGAATAGTGGGCGGTTTTCATGGATCATCGGCTGCCTGAAGCACTATATTACCATTGTTGAGCGGCTTGTTTTTCTTATCATCCTATCCTTTATGATTGGAAAAATCTACCTCAAAAAAGATCCTAACCAATCTAAACAACTTACTTATTCTGTGGCCTGCTCACCAGGAGAAGTCATTCCGTTTCTTTTACTACAGCAATCCAAACAAGATAAAAAATATTCGATCAAT